GACACAAGGATACGTTTTCTACGTGTATTTACGCTGTGATTTGAACGAAAACAGCGCATCCGTGCGGTGCGGCTGACACAGAATAGCGTATGCTGCTTGCGTTCAGCTCATATTCTCCAAAATGGCGCTACGGTGATGCGGAGAGACACAGAGGAGACAAATTGTTGAATAAAGTCGTTATGTTTGTTTTCTTCGCGTACAAAAAGTATTCTCGTCGCTTCATAACGTTACGGTTGAACCACTGATGGCACATGGACTATTCTGACGATGTCTTTCATACTTTTCTGGACCTTGAAAGTGTAAGTTACTTGGCAGTCAACGGGACAGTCACAAGCCTCCCGGGTTTCATCCAAAATATCTTAAATTGTGTTCCGAAGACGAACGAAGCTTTTACGGGTTTGGAACGACACGGGGGTCAGTGATTAATGACAAAATGTTCATTTAGGGGCGGAGTATCCCTTTAAATCTATATTTTTAAATATTGGACTAAATACTGTAACTGCATGTAAAATATGTACATGTAGTTTAGTTCATGTAGTTCCAAGTAGTAGTTTGTGTCTCAACAAAGAACAATGTTTTTGTTTTATAGACTTTCAGACTGCAGTATCAGTGAAGAAGGTTATAAAGCTCTGGCTTCAGCTCTGAGATCAAACCCTTCACACCTGATAGAGCTGGATCTCAGAGGAAATGATCCTGGACCATCAGGAGTGAAGCAGCTCAATTATTTACTACTGGATGGAAGCTATAAATTAAAGAACATCAGGTGATTAAAGACTTCAAATATTTTTTTAAATTGTACATGCAACAGAAAATAACCTCTAGCCATTATGCTGCAACACTGCCTTTAAGGAAGATGAGAGCTGCAAAAAGAATCACATTTTAGCAAGATTTTTTAATTTACAATTAGCATCTACTTCCTGTAGGTTTTTGAAAAGTCTTCCTGCAGAGAGAGCGTGTGAGTATCTCACTAAAGTTCTGGGTGAAAGTCCATTATTAATGAAAGAACTGGATCTGAGTGGAGATAAATTAGGAGACCTGGATGGAGAGAAACTTTCTGCTCTCTTCATGGACTCTCATAGCAAAGTGGAGAAAATCAAGTGAGTGAACATGATTTTGTACATTATAGCTTCTGATTATTTAAAAGATTGTCAGTCACATGCGTGAGAACATACAGAGACCTGTTGTCCTGAATATGTGCTAAATAATAAATAATGCCATTTCTGTGTTCAGGCTGAATAATTGTGAGCTGACAGAGAAAAGCTGTTCAGTTCTAGCTACTGTTCTCTGCTCCAAAACCACCCTGACAGAGATGAACCTGAACAACAGCCCTCTGCAGGATTCAGGAGTCAAAGAGATCTGTAAAGGACTGAAGAATCCTGTGTGTGAGTTGAAGATACTCAAGTGAGTTCATTTCACCATCATCTACAGTACACTGAACACTACAACGATCACAGGAATATTTGCACATTTGGTGATGTGCAAAATTAAGCA